TAAATCTCAGTTGGTAACACTTTTCCCTCTTCCGATAAGCACTCGGAACCCGTAGCAGGTACAACAAGAGGTAACTTGTCATGGTTAAAAACTTCTGAGAGATAATCAATGGCTGCACTAGGGAGGTTTCTCAGATATGCTTCTTCATATAGGACGAATAAACCGTAGGTCCCGTCTCCTGCATCTATTAATTAGTTAATTTGGTTAGGCAGGGGACGTCAAAGAACTCACTTCACGAGACTACTGTGATGTGGTCTGGTCTGTTTCCTGGGAATTGGGGGGAGAGAGCATCTGTTGGAATCGCCTTTATTGATTGTAAACTGCTACTAGCAGTCTGGTAAAGTCCCCTGCACAGTGTTGTAAAACAACTCGCAATTCAGCATTAATTGCTGCAAGTAGTTGTTCTGTTATCACTATTACTATCACTATCACTATCACGTTCTGATCACTCAATTCGAGGTCTGTCTCAGTACCAAGAAGCACTCTTAGAGTTTGTAACTGTGACAGCAGCAAATTGTTCTCCAAATTGTCTCATTAAAAAAAATCACAGGTAGATTTAAGATGCTTATAGAAATCATTTCTGTTAACTACGTTCACCGAAAGTAACTCTAGTCGGGAATATAATTTGTATCCAGGTTTACTGAGTCTGTCGAGTATGAAATAAATTACAAGGTCTAGAGCTTCAAAGTAAATGGATCGGAAGTAGTCTTTTGCACTTTTTGGATGGTCTCCTGCGGTTTTTCCATCATCCGCCTTCTCTTTCGCGGAGGTTGTGGCTGCAAAATCTGCTAGAAGATTTCATTGCTGCTTACAACCTGCCAAGTCTTTACTGTCATGCTTGCAATCATTTGTCAAGGGAAAGCTGACTTTTCTTTTCCCTGAAGACATGTGGACAAGTTGTCCGTGTGACTCATTATTATGATTCCCACATGTAGTTCGAAAAAATACTTGAAAGCTCTCGCCTGTGTCTTCACTCCAAGAAATTCAAATTGGTCTCCAAACAGTCATCCCATAACTATGTGAACGGCTTAAAGTTTTCACTCACACCGTTTAAGGAATTTTCCCTCACAGTCCATCCAGAAGAAAAGGGCGATACGGCAGCGAGGGACAACCTCGTTCCCAGGCCTTTTTCCAATTAAGGAAAAAGGCCCTGGGAACAAGGTTGAGCGGAGGGGTTAAAAAACGGGGGAGGTTTGAGTTTTGTTATGTAATGACCGAGCACCTGTAATGGGCAAATCACAACACCTCATTTGTTGTGAAGCTACAAGACTGCGTTTGTTGTGTTTTGATTTCTAAAATTGATTTCTTCACTGCCTCTTAAAACACCAAGTACGTCCCTTGCGACTGTAAAACTTTACCGACCGCTCACCCATAAACATGTCGTCGTAGCAACATTCAAGGGGACAATTTCCCGGGTTCACGAACGGTGCTGTCAGATCTGGACGGCACAATTCACGGCCACTAGAAGGTATATTGCAGCCTGGTTCTGAAAGGTAAAATGATGACGGATGAACATCATGACACAGGCACAGTTTCTTTAATTTCTAACTACTGTCAATTAAACAATTTGACCTCTGCATGAACTCTATTCAGTGATGATCATTGGTTAACTAAATGCCGCCACGTAGAAAGCCTGCATGAAGTGATCATCATCATTGAAAGAAAAAAAAAACAAAACAAAACAAAATTAAAAAGAGAGTTTTGTATCCTACGCAGAGAGCCTCATCGACACTTTCGATAAAGCAAAGCGCACAGACATCTCAATCACCTGGTGATCTCCTGGGTTTAACATTATCTGGAGCTATTTTTTCTTTTTCCATGCTCGTGTGAGAAGGCGGAGCGTAATGTGCCGTGACGTAAGTACCATCATTTGGCTTGATGTTGAGTCCACAGCCCAACCTGGTCTCTCCTGCCCACACAACCGCTTGGAAATGTCCAATGACGCCAGTTCCTCGGCCTGTTTGGTAATTGTAACCGTTCTTAATCTCTGAATACCAGCCTCTCACTGCACCAGCAATGGCTCCTTCCATCTTATCCATTCCTTCCCAACCCCATCCTTTCCAAGAGATGCTCTCAGTAAATTTGTCCGTCCATTCAGAATGGTGCATATAACCTTTAGCAGCTTGCTGGTCTGTCCATTCTTGGGCAGATGTCGCCAACTCTTGGTCACACTCCAATGGTGGAGAGCCATGTAGGTCTCGGTAATAATTGTGCATGTTAAGGCAAAGGAGCTGACAATATGGACCACATGCTGTCAAGGATCAATAAAGAGTTCTAAATCTCTTATAAATGGTAAGATTTAAACCGGTGCAGGACTCAAGGGTGTATGACAATTAGTTCAATTGATCATGAAAGGTCTCACTTGACAGTCCCTCTGCGATACGTTTTCTTAGTGAATCTGTCTGAGCAGCTAAGGAGGCTATATCAAATACTTCCACGAAGCGAATAGGATTTACATTCGTTAACTATTGCCGAAAATGTATCATCTAATCCAAGTTAAAATTAACATGAATAAACTCCTATCTACGTATGATGCACGATCCTCGCAGTAGAGATTGCTATTTATGCAATAGCGAAAATCAGACCTGAAAAAAATCAGGCCTGTACGGGATTCGAACCACTGACCTCTGCGATACTAGTGCAGCGATCTACCAATTGAGCTAACAAGCCAACTGGGAGCAAGCCAATTGTTAGCTCAATTGGTAGAGCGCTGCACTAGTATCGCAGAGGTTAGTGGTTCGAATCCCGTACAGGCCTGATTTTTTTCAGGTCTGATTTTCGCTATTGCATAAATAGCGCTCTCTACTGCGAGGATCGTGCATCATACATATCTATAATCGTAGTTCAAAATATATGAACTTCATATATTCATCGTACCAAACTCCTATCTGCAAACCTAATTCCAGTCGCACGTTGGTCCATGGAACAGACTGTCACTTTAATTGTGCAAACTCTTTGTATATGATTCGGCCGAACTAACAAGCCAGTTGAATAACAGTTCCTTGGTGCTGTGTGGCCCCTCTCTACTGAATGACTCTAGATGATTCTTTGCTTTATACAATATTTACAAGAATAATACTCACTTAGCCCCTGTCCACAATACGGCCCTTCACCAGCATCTGAAAAACCACAAAACGTCCAATTATCGTAGTATGTTTGAGAAATTACGAGAAGTTAACGATTATAGTAAGGCCTCGCATATTTGCATGCTCTGCATCTGAAATACCTGGTGATGTTGTTGTTGAACTCCCAGTCGAAGCTCCTGTCGTTGGAGTAGGGCTTGCGGTTGATAGAACTAGCTTTGGAGACGCAGATGAATGAACAATCACACGTGAGATTTCTGTCACGATGTCGTCACAATGCATTAAAAGGAAATAAAAGGTTATTTCATTGACTGATTTTACAGTAGCATACCATTGTACCATTGATGATAGAAACAATTAAACAACGTGTAACCTACCTAAAACTAAAAGGGAGAGAAGCAAATTGATTAAGCCAGGAGCCAACATCCTCACAAATTCTTCTCTGGCTTCCTTCCAAGCTGCCCTTAATTGAGGTGATTTTCGTGGTAAACGATGATCTTGAAATTATAAGATCATATTGAACCAGGTAAACAAAGATTTCAGCAAAGAAACAATCAAAGAAAAAAAAAAACCTATTTTATGCATTTACAGATGCGCTTTATAGAACAAGGATAATTACGAGGTAATATAATAATGACAATAAATAAAAAAAATCCTTTGTCACTTGCCAAAAATCAATTTGGTAAATCGTACAAGTTCCTCAAGTATATACTTACGCCAACAAAGGTGCATGAAAGGCAAGTTTTCCAGTTCTATTTCCCAAAAGAAACTCCCCTTATTTATGCTGTAAATATCTTGTTTAAGATGGTCAAAGGCACTGCAAAAAAGAAGAGAAAGAGACCGTGTTATGAAATTATAATGGAAACTTTCAAGTACCTTTGCACGTGTTCGCTCCATAACCTCAACTCCAAGTTGTTGTCATGAATACCGGTATTCGACCGGGAGAACAGTGAGACTTTCATAAGCGTCAACAGGTTTCCACTTGACTAAGGACTCTTTTCCCTCATCAATAGAATCTTCGTGTTAACGTAAAAACAAAGTAAAAAAAAAAAGAACCATCAGAACAAAAATAACAACCAAAAGATAAAAAACAAAAACAAACAAAAAAACCCGCAAATAGGCCTCCATTCAATAGATAATGCAGTTAGTTACCTGTTAAGACCATCTAACAAGGATTGGTACGACTGTGTCACTATTAACTGACAACAACGTAAAAACCAACAATCCAAATAATTTCAAACCGACCTGAAAACAGTGAACAAGAGGAGCCACCTCGTGGAATGTCCACTTCTAAATTACTATTCTTCTTAATATTACTATTATCATTATCGTTTGTATTACACACTCAAACTAATCGTCCTACCTGGTAAGAATCACCTGTCAACCGTACAAAGGGGTTTGAAATTAATAAGGATTGGCTACTGACAGAACAAAATCTCTC